AATAATACATTAAGAAGTACAGAATGATACAATGCAGATTTAAGAATGAACACAGCTTTCTGCTTGGCTATACTTCTTGGAAAAGGGATGTAGGCAGCCATAAAACACCCAAAGTGACATGTTTCGAAATTTCCACTTCCACTAGAATTGGCAGCAATGGGTTGCCACATGGTTCAACAAGCCAGCTCAGAAAATCCACAAATGCAAGTCTCAGACAGCAAAAGCACACGGAATTGCCCTATGCTTTGCCTTTGGATCTGTCCAACCAATAGTCAAATGCCAACATCGGATATTAACCACAGTATGTCCTGGCAAGGGATTCAGCCTAGAAGAGTTAAGGGTAGCTAGTCTCCATGAGAAATTGCCTGGATCACTGCAGCATTGTACAAGTCTACAAAGTCCTCGTGGGGCTGAAAAAGCATGGCTTCCAACAACCAAGAGGAAAGGTGCCCAAGAGGAGAAACAGTGCTGCTGAGGAACCCACAGGAGGAAAAAAGCCAGGGTCATTACAGAGAAATAAAACTTTAAGGCATTTGTCAATCTTCTTGTGATCCACACCAGAGCATGGCTCTTAAATCTCCCAATAAAAAGAGCCAAAGAAGCCAACAACAGAAAGTGGAAAAGAAGGGGAAAAAAATCTGTTATGACACTTTACCAAAGAATATAAGTAAGTGCATGAAAAGATGCTCCATCATTGTGATTAGGGAAAAGCAAGTTAAAACCACAATAAGATTCAACTACACACCTATTAGAATGGTTAAAATAAAAAAGAAAGGCAATGCCAAATGTTGGTGAGGATATGGAGCAACTAAAACTCTCATACAGTGCTGGCAGGAATACGAAATGGCACAACCACTTAGGAAAACAGCTGGGCAGTTTCTTAAGCAGTTAGATGTACACTTTCCATATGACCCGGCAATTCCACAATTACACTCCTAGATGAAATGAAGCATACGTCCACACAAAGACGTATGCACAAATGTTCATAGTAGCTCTATATGTAAGAGGCAAACACTAGAAGAAACTCACATGTTCATCAGCAGATGAGTGAATAAAGAAATTGTGATACTGTATGTTCATTCAATAGAATACTGCTCAGGAATAAAAAGGAACAAACCATTGATGTATGCTACAACTTGGAAAAATCTCAAAATAATTATGCTGAGTGAAAGAAGCCAGACAGGAAAAGATGATATACTGTGTGATTCCATTTATATAAAATTCTAGAAAATACAAACTATAGTGATAGCAGACCAGTGGTTGCCTGGAGGTCGGAGCAAGTTCCAGCACAGCTCCAGGGGTCTCAGACAGGGGCTGCTCTACCATCAACATGACTCAAACCTTTAGCAGCTCAAACCCAGTCTCCATCACTCTAAAACTCCAAACTGCAAGAGAGAATCTGATTGTCCCAGACTGGTCTGTTTCCCACCCCTGCATCAATCACATATGTCTGGGGGCAGGATCATATAGTAATGGCATGACTTCTGGGCATCCCTCTCTGTGTGTTGGAGGCATTCCCCGAGAGAAGGGTGATTGTTGTGATCTGGGCAGTCACCTGAAGAGTTTTCTACTATACAAATACTTCACAAACAAAAAGTAGTCTCACTTCTGAATTCCCTGTAGTGGCTAGCATAATTGTGAACAAATAATAAGCCTTTAATACCCAACTCATTTAAAAAAGAAAAAAGAAGATTCTGGCAGAAGTGGGTCAAGTAGATTGACGTCAGAGGGGATGGCAGGCCTGAGGGTTCACCTGTGAGACACTGCCTTTATCCACACGTGAGGTATATGGCTCTAGGAATGGAGAGTCCCAGAAACCAAACCGTGCAGAGCAAGGAATGGCTATGGATGGATGTAGGGCTTGAACAAAAGAGAAAAAAGTCGTAAATCACCTCTTTAATGAGCCCTGGGAAAGGGCACCATTGACAACAATTAAAGGCTAGAAAGGTATGTCCTTGAGATAACTAGATGTGGGCCAGTAGAGCCCTGGGAGAGCTGTCAAGGCTGAAGACAGTCTTATGCTCTGTCCCTTCCAGACTATAAAGCCATAAAAATAAATGAGCTCCTTGAGGAGGTAAGTGAAGGAGAGCAGCAGCCACCAGCAAGATCTGAGTCAGACCAGAGTTGGAAAGTGAGAAAAGAAAAAGAAAGGGGCAAGAAGGGGAACCTGGTAATACACATTGACACTTAACTGCCTCCTAAGTTCCTAGTGAGATCTTTTTGGTGGAAGTAAGAGACATCCACTAGAGGCAGTTGAAACACCAAAGGGGAGATTTGTTCTAAGGATCAGAGTGTTCTCCAGAACCCTATGACAGCAAGAGCAGCCTGCCCTAGATGGGGAATTTATCTAGAAAATAAAAAGCTTCCACAAAGTCAGGGAGAACTTTTTCTCCATATTTTATCTTTTCTCCTTTGTTTTTTTTTTTTTGAGACAGAGTCTCACTCTTTTTGCCCGGGCTAGAGTGAGTGCCGTGGCGTCAGCCTAGCTCACAGCAACCTCAAACTCCTGGGCTCAAGCAATCCTACTGCCTCAGCCTCCCGAGTAGCTGGGACTACCGGCAGGTGCCACCATGCCTGGCTAATTTTTTGTATATATTTTTAGTTGGCCGATTAATTTCTTTCTAATTTTAGTAGAGGCGGGGTCTCGCTCTTGCTCAGGCTGGTCTCGAACTCCTGAGCTCCAACAATCCGCCCACCTCGGCCTCCCAGAGAGCTAGGATTACAGGCGTGAGCCACCGTGCCCGGCCTTCTCCTTTGTTTTTGGTTTGTTTGTTTTTGTTTTTGTTTTTGAGAAAAGAGTCTGACTCTGTTGCCCAGGCTGGGGTGCTATGGCATTGTCATAGCTCACTGCAACCTTAACTCCTAGGCTCAAACGATCCTCCTGCCTCAGCCTCCTGAGTAGCTGGGACTACAGATGTGTGCCGCTGTGCCCAGCTAATTTTTTCTATTTTTAGTTGCCCAGCTAATTTTTTTATTATTTTTTACTACAGATGGGGTCTTGCTCTTGCTCAGGCTGGTCTCGAACTCACCTCAAGCAATCCTACTGCTTCGGCCTCCCAGAGTGCTAGGATTACAGGTGTAAGCCACCTCACCCAGCCCAGCCTCGCCCCAAAATTGGCCATCTCTGTTACCTTGTCCATAGGAACCAGTGCTCCCAAATTTTAAATTTCCTCCTTTTAGAAGTCCAGCCAGACTGAGAATGAAGCGCTTTGTCCTGATTCCTGAGAGAATCCAGCTGACCTTGGTATCTACTCCTGGACAGATGAGCTGTGGCCAGTGGGACAGAATGACTTGGCACACACATGGCTCTGAGTGCCCATTCCTGTGGGATGGGGACAGTTCCCAAAGAGGCTTCCATAAAAGCCATTTACATTTGCTCCTCACATCAACTCCCTGAGATATGTCTCATTCCCTCATGCAGATAAGGCACTCGGGCAGTTAAATGACATGGTCAGGGTCACACATCGAGTGAGTGGCAGAACCAGTGCTCACCCCGAGACTCTCCACTCCTAAGCCCCTGTTTTTCCATCTGTATCACTGCAGATTTTCCACGCAGCTTTCCCTCTGCCAATTTCTAATTTGGAAAGTTATTCCTTTTCCAGGACAAGTAACTCAGAAGAATGTGAGACATGAAAGTAGAGATGACTAGTTTAGTAGAAAGAGGAGTTAGAATGCCTAAAGTAGAAATAATCACTGATAATAAAGAATAACAGATGCTAACAATTAAGGAGGGCTAGTAGGTATCATGAATTAGCTCATTTAGTACTCACGGCCACACCGTGAAGGTAAGCAGTACTGTTACCTAGTTTCACAGATAAGGAAACTGAGGTACCAGGAGGTCAAATAACTTGTGTCAGCTCAAACAGCTAGTAAAAGGCAGAGCCAGGGTTGGGGCTCTGGCTCAAGAGAATAAATCCCTAACTCTGCCACCATCCTGCAGCCAGTGCTGTGGAGCCGAAGAGCAGGGCCGACTGAAGGACCTGCTATTGTTCTTACATGCCACCCACATCTCTGATCACCTCTGGCCTAACGAATGGATACGTTCTCAACTCTCTCATGTTCTTCCCTTCTCATTGCAGGTACTGGTGCAAGAGGAGGTCCAGCATTCTCCATTCAGCCCTGTGTGCCAGGAGGTCTTTGTCACCATTACTGATCTCAGGTGACGCCCACATGCCCCTTACATGTTTATCCTGGTTCCTCATTCAGGGCCAATGCCAGAAACAACTGACATGTTCCGTATTTTTAACTTTTGAAAACTATTTAGATAGAGAAGGGGAAGCCAAATCCATGTTTTTGAGTACAAACTTCGATTTCCTGTATGCTGTCATCAATATGTGAAAGACTTTATTGGAACCTCTTTGGAGTTCAGATTTGCCCAAAGTACATTCAGTGCCAAGTTACTCCCATATATGTTTCATGACATTCGAGTTCCAAGGTCTAAGAAATTTGGAACGGCTGCTTGCTGTTTACCTATCTTGGAGATTTGTTCTGCAGTGATTAAACTGATTGCAGGTCCTGAGAAGTCCTGTAGTTAAAATGTTTTTAGCTTGATTCAACCCACTGTTGCCCAAACTAACATTCAGCAGAGCATGCTTTGTAAAATTGTGACTTACCATGCTAGACTGTAGCAGGCTTCCCTCCGCGGTTGATCTGAAGGAAAGCCTGGAAGAATATTGCTCTGCTCACTTCTTGGGCGGCGGGGGAACTCTTCTCCAACCTTTGGTGAGATTTCTCTAAACAGACTGACAAGCCATTTATCTCTTCCATCAGAATGACACCCCAGCCAGTTTACCCTTCCCTTTTTTGTAACTTTGATCCCTGCTCATCAATGTCAAGTCAAACCCTTTTCCCAGCTTGCCAATACCAAACTGTCTTTTCTTAGTTACCAAGATGTCCATTTGCTGTTTGGCTCTGAAGATCGAGCTGAGTTGTTCAGCGTCATCACCAAAAGTATAATCACTCTGCCCTCTGTGAAGAATCTTACCCAGCTGCAGGAAATCATGCCAAGTGGGCCCTACAACTCACAGGTAACTCATGCTTTGCTATAGTAACTGCGCATCCACAGGGTCAGCTGATCTTGGCCTTTAGAGAGTGCATTTGATTTTTTAAAACTAGCCAAAAACCATTTAAGCCAAGTCTGTGAACAAAATAGGTGGTTAAGTTAGAAGATAGCTTTTTTCCCCTTCATTTCCCTTCATTACTTCATTCCTTCCTTTCAGCTATAAAATAAGGTAGGAGTAGTTATTCATATATTTAACAGACATTTATTTAAGGGTCACCATGTGCTAAGCATTCTGATAGGCAATAGAAACACAGCAGTTCAGTCTCACTCATGGAGCTTGCATTCTAGTGCAGAGAGACAAACTGATGATAAAGGAAATATGTCAGCTGGTAATAAGTGTTACGAGAAGAAAAGCAGGGAAAGAGGAGAATGAAAAGTACTGTGGGCTGAGCACAGTGGCTCACGCCTGTAATCCTAGCACTATGGAAGGCCAAGGCGGGGAGGATCTCTTCAGGCCAGGAGTCAAGACCAGCCTGGGCAACATAGAGAGACCCTGTCTCTACAAAAAATTTAAAGATTAGCCAGATGTGGTGGTGTGCTCCTGTAGTCCCAGCTACTCAAGAGGCTGAGGTCAGAGGATTGCTTGAGCCCAGGAGTTTGAGGTTGTTGTGAGCTATGATCACGCCACTGCATTCCTGCCTGGGCGATAGAGCAAGACCCTGTCTCTAAAAAAAAAAAAAAGAGTACTGTGTTTGGGAGGCATATGGGTGGTCAGGCAAAGCCTTCCTAATGGGGTGATAGTTGAAGGAAGAGAGAGGGTGTGGGTATGTCTGGAGGAGAAGCTTTTAAGCTGAGGGAAGGGTTAGGTACAAAAGCCCTGATCTCTTCTTCAGTGGCTAGTAAACTGGGCTGGTAAAGCAATTGCCAAAAACTTATTCCCCTCTGTTTCAAGATGTCAGAAAAAGTTACAAGTCACTTCTAAAAGTATCTTGATGACCATTAAGTAATTCCCCAGATGAATTAATAGTAAGAGTCAATTAACTGTGATCCCAGTAATGCAAAGGTGTCCATTTGAAATGAAGATTTATTCTGCTTCACCTGATGCTGCAAACTGTCCACGAGAACTTTTACACTGGTTCTGCAACCTTGAGTAAAGTCTCAAGATAATGATAAGAGCCTCAAAAACTAGGAGAGCTTCATGTGGTGGGAGCATCACTGATCCTGTGCCTTCTCAGTGTCTCTACAGGCTGACGTTCCAGGCATTCTTTGAGATGCTCCAGAGTTTGGTGATAAAAGACCCACAGCTGGAAAATCTTGACGCCATTTTGAAGGTAAACAGGATATCAGGGAGAAATGGAAAACTATTCCTGTTAACTGGTGAAAGTGGAAGAGGAAAATGTGGAAGGTTCAAGTTGTAGAAGGCAACATGTTATTTAAGAGTATCAGCTACTAGCTTTGAGTCAGAGATTTGGGCTCAAATTCTGACTCTGCCATTCATTGGTTATAAGTCCTTCTGCTATAAATTCTGCAAGGAATTTGCTCTCTCAACGTCTTATTCTTCACCTTTAAATGGAGATAATAACTACTGTGAGTATTGGATAAATAGCATTCAATAAATGGTTTAAATGGTTGCTATAATTATTCCTTAAATTATTATTCCTTACTAGCATAGAAGGGTTTTAATCATTGACGAGGGAACAGAGTCAGCACCATCAGTTGGTAAATAAGCAGCCTCCTACCAGGTGGGACTCAAAGGTAATAATGACCACCTGCCCCTACCTGTACCTGTTCCAGTATATGCTGTTCCGTCATTAGGGATTTATTCATTGGAGTGCATTCTCTGCAGTTCAAGCATCCTGATCTCTTGCCCTTTTTAAAGATGCAGATATCCTGGAAAGGGATAAGCCTTCAAGCTATTATTAATCATTTGTACCTAAGTATAGATCAGCATTATTCTTGTCATAACTGACCTTAACATGATTTCTCATTCCTCTTGTATTTGTACATTAACATACCAGCCAGACTGGGTTTCTCCCCTTTATCCAGTTGTACTTTGAAGGCAGCTTAATTCAATCCATTTCTTCTACCTGAAATGCCTCCTTCTTCATGAGCAACTACTCATGGATATTATCTTCTCCATTCATTCCTCCCTGACTGTTCAAGTTGCTGCAATTTCTCTATCCTCAGAGGTCTTTGATAGTATGTTATTAACTTTATTTCTTTCCAAAGCAGATTTGAGAGGGTTAAAAACATATAGAAAAATGGAATAATTAATGAACAAATTGGGATGAAGGGAAAATAAATCTAGAAAATAAGCTCCTATAGCAGCCAGACCACACGACCACCCAGGTCTTTATGCCTTGCTTGTCGTCCAGGCACTTTCGTTTCTCACTCAAGCTGATTCATCATTTAGAAAAATATCTTCAGACATAGTAGTAATATGTAACTTCTTTCTTCACATTTTCTCCCAAACACAGTAAAGGTCCCAAATCTTCCTGATAAACCCTTTAGCCTCCCTTTATTTCTCACAGCACATGGACCCCTGGTTACAGTCAGTCAAAGACCATGAGCGGGAAATGGCCACAGCCAGCATGGCTGAAGTTCTGAAGTGCTTGTCCAGACATCTCAGCTTGAAGGTGAGCAGCCCTTTGGTTGCAGAGGAGAAAGGATCCAAAGCCTTCCTACCACTGCCTGTTTCCCCTGTTGTTCATGACTTCCCAAACAGGGTTATGTGTCCCCTCGGTGCTCATGTAATATCATAGCACTTAGCATTATTTACGTATCTGCCCTGTCCTGAAATATGAGCAGCTCGAGGCCAGGTACTGTGTCGATTAATCTTTGCATCCCCATTGCCTAGCACAACAGCTGGGACATAATAATATAGTTAATATTTTTGAATGAATGCATGAATAAATAAATATAATCTGAAAATACCTGAGGGCCCACAGTGGCCTGGTCTTGGTACAGTGTTGTGTTTGAAGAAATAGAATCCAGCAAGCAAATTTTTTTTTTACATTTATTTATTTATTTTAAATTTTTTTCTATTTCTGCATATTATGGGGGTACAAATGTTTAGGTTACATTTCCCTTGCCTCCCCCCTCCCAGTCAGAGCTTCAAGCATGTCCATCCCCCAGATGGTGCACATCGCACTCATTATGTTTGTATATACCCATTCCCTCCTCCACTGGTCAATGTCCCTGTTCTTGTGCCAGTACCAAGCTGTTTTCATTACTATAGCCTTGTAGTATAGTTTGAAGTCTGGTAGATTGATACCTCCCATTTAGTTTTTATTGCCTAGGATTGCTTTTGCTATACAGGGTCTTCTCTGGTTCCATATGAAGCATAAAATTATTTTTTCTATATCTGTAAAATATGATGTTGGTATTTTAATAGGGATTGCATTGAATCTGTAGATCACTTTGGGTAGTATACACGTTTTAACAATGTTGATTCTGCCGACCCACAAGCATGGTATGGTTTTCCACCTGTTTATTTCCTCTGTTATTTCCTTCCTCAGTGTTTCATAGTTCTCCCTGTAGAGGTCTTTTATCTCCTTAGTTAAATATATTACTAGGTACTTTATTTTCTTTGTTGCTATTGTGAAGGGTATTGAGTCTTTGATTTGGTTCTCAGTTTGACTGTTATTGGCGTATATGAATGCCTCTGGTTTGTGTGTATTGATTTTGTATCCTGAGACTTTACTGAATTCATTTATCAATTCCAGGAGTCTCTTGGTTGAATCCTTGGGGTTTTCTAGATATAATATCGTATCATCAGCAAAGAGTGAGAGTTTGATCTCTTCTGCCCCCATTTGGACCCCCTTAATTCCTCTCTCTTGTCTCATTGCTGTAGCAAGGACTTCCAGCACTATGTTGAATAGAAGTGGAGATAGTGGGTAACCTTGCCTGGTTCCAGTTCTAAGTGGGAATGCTTTCAATTTTTCCCCATTCAGTATGATGTTGGCTGTGGGTTTGTCATATATGGCTTGTATCATTCATTTTTAGGTAAGTCCCATCTATGCCTATTTTGTTAAGCATTCTTATCATAAAAG